GCCCCCCTCCGCCCGCCCCGCCCCCCTACCTGAGGATGCTGCTCAGACAGAAGGAGCAGTAGCGGTGGCCACACTGTGCCTGGAAGGGCCTGCGCAGGACGTTCTTACAGGCTGAGCACAGGTACTTGTCCTCCAGCTTGGTCCCCAGGAGGGTCTTGGAGAAGCCGGGCTGCAGCACGTCGAGGGAGCCGGGAGGGGTCACGCTGGCTGCAGCCATGGAAGTCGCGTCCCCCGAGAACGCCAAGCCCTGAGGAAGAACAGAGGCATCGAGGCAGTCGAGAGGTGCCCGGCTCGGCTCCGCAGTCATCCTCCGGGAAGTGCCCGCCTGGTGGGCAGGACTCTAACTGGTCAAGCCGACTGGTAGCAGCATGACTTTGACGCTCAGAAAACCATCCGTCCCATCTGCCGCCACAAACTTAGAAACCAAGGCTTAGCGGGTGTGGCGACCTGCCCACGCCACATGGTTGGCATCCGCACGCCCACCCGCAGCGCCTCGGCCAGTGGGCTGTCCTCCCCTTCCCGCCAACGCGGGTGCCCGGCGGTGCCCGGCCTCCTGAGGGTCCCACACTAACTCCGACGCTGCATGGACGGCCCCTACAACAGGTCGTGCACCAGCCTGCAGTGCCCAGAGGTGGCCACGCTGCCCAGTTGCCTCTCCCACACCAGCCGGTGCTGCTACTCTGCCCCTGCCAGTTGCCACAGCCCCTCTCCCTTCAGCAGGCTGTGGGCATCAGAGATCTGAAACCGCACATGGAACTCACTGTCCGACACCCACAGCATCAGAAGCCAAAGAAACGGGAGCTGCTCCCCTTGGGAAGGGGCAAGTGCCCGGCGCCCGAACGGGAAGCACTGTCCCCCCAGGACCGCTCCACCCGGAGGACGTGGCCCTGCAGACTCCGCTCCCCCTCCGGCCGCGGCCCCAGGCGGGAGCCCCAGGCGTTAGGAAACGACGCCCCTTCCCAGCAGAGGGGCCTGCACAGAGCGGCCAAGGCCCCGTTCTGGGCCGACACCACAGGAAACAGCGAGGGGTGGGGTGCCGTCGGGCAAAACCACTTTGAGACTCTGAGTTTGGACTTGGCACTTGAGGCCTCACACACGGCGCATGGACACGAGTCTCTCGCTCACTCAATCGCAGGCCCCCGCGCTGTCTGCACACGGAGCTGCCTGGGACCCTGGACGATCACCCGTCCACCCACGACGAGGTGACCTCGTCCTTCCCGCCCACGCGGCTCAGACCCGGAGGGCGAGGAGGTGGCCCAAGAAGAAACCTTCCGGTGGAGGATCTAAACCCCAAGCACTGATGCGCTAGGAGCACCGGCCAGGGCGCCGTGGGGGTCCCGGGTGACCTGCCCCCCCCATGGGAACTAGGCCTCAGGGCACTCCTGCAGGACACACACCCTTCCCCAAAACACGCTCCAGACACGAGTGCGCTCCTCCCACCACAGCCTCGCCCTCTGCGAACGGGCATTTCTGCCCGATACAAAGCAGTGTTCACGGAGGCACTTGGGTTCCGTGGCGTCAGGGTCGGGCAATGCCGCCCTGTGGAGAGGGGCACGGGGACCAGCACTTTGGGGTGTTTGTTCCTCTTCCCAGGTCCTGGCACAGAGCTCCCCAAGCCCTGGGGCTGCCTGTGTGAGGGGCCAGAGGAGCATCTGTCAGTCACAGCCCTTCCACCAGCCCGCTCAATCCCTGCGGGGAGCGGGCTGCAGATGCCCCGAACCCCCCAATGGCCAAGGAGGTGACCAATCACGCTCATGATGGGGCCCCCACAAGCCCCCAGGACGGGGTCGGAGAGCTTCGGGGGGGGGGCATGTCTCCGTGCGGGGAGGACGGGGAGCCCCCCATCACTCAGCCTCTCCCAGCAGAAGCTCTGGACGCGGCGGTGGGTGTGTCAGAGGCTCTGGCAGGGCACAGAGCAGAGACCACGTCCCAGCGAGGGCCTTGGGAGCGGCAGCCTCCGGGCTGAGCCGGGTGAGGGGCTGGGGTGAGGGGCGTGTGTGCGCTGTGCTGACTGCAGAGAGGGAGGGAGGGAGGGACACACCAGTCCGCCGCCTCCACTGGGGAGCGAGTCTGCAGCTGGACATGTGCCCTGACCTCTGGGTGGAAGGTCGGGGCTCAACCACTGAGCCACACCAGCCAGGCCAGGACAAGGCTTTAAGAAAAGCACTTCTTAGAATCGTGTTCGTTTGAAATTCAAGCCACAGTAACTTCTGCGGCGTGTACGTTATACGGCAATAACGCTGTTTTCTTAAAAAAGAAAAACTTGAGCGGCAGCTCGGGGCTGGCTGGGACCCCCCCTAACACCGTAACTGTGACCAGGGCCCGGGCCTCGCTGG